AAGTCTTGGGCCCTACCTCATACCTACAACTGTATTTTAAGAAAATCCCTTGGGCGATCTGTATGCACATTCAGGTTGGAGAAACTGTGCTAAGAGACTCAAAATAGACGTTGTCTGTGAAGAAAATAGTATTTTACTTATCTAGTTATTGTCACTATGATGAAGTTTCTAAGATAAATGTTAATATTCAGCTGAAGTATCAGGTGTCTAGAACTAAGTCTGAAAGATGAAGAAAAGCAAAACTAATTTGAGATGCTGAGGTTCTGCTAAACTCTATTATTGAAGACATAAGAATATATCCAGAAGGAACTGATTATTTCTCTGCCTGAAGCATTACCTAGTCATTATTTTGGTCTTTTTGAGCTACAAATAACTGTTTCTATATTGATTTTTATTTTGTTTTGTTTTTATATACAATGCATGATCTTCTTAGTCTGCTAACTCATTTGGTGCTGTCTTTTGCTAGCCAGATCTTTCCATAAGAAGGTCTAAAATTTGGCTTATTGTACGAAAACTGTCTGAAATTCACCTATCCTATAAGACTTTCCATGAGAATCCAAACTGAAAGGAGCACCAGAATCATTTATAAAACATGATACAATGCTTATCTATTTGAAGTTGGTTCACATTTTAAATGCTACTGGTGAAAACTTACTACCAACTCTTGGAGAGCCAAATTCCAAAATCTGAAATGTGACACCAACTGCAAATAACTTGAATCTTGAAAAGTGTGAAACACTCAGGACATAATAGAGGTCATCATTCCAGGAATGAACTGATGGAAGATGTGACTTACATAAGGAAAATGGGTATTTCTTTATTTTTACACATGATTTTCATTTGCCTATTTAAATTTAGCTTATGTGTTCAAAGCATAGATGCACCAAAAGTCATTATTTTATTTATGATAGATGTAATAATGACAAATTAGTCTCAAATAATGTCATATTCTTATCCCTTGCAGTTACATGGAAATCTTTTATGGGTTCATGATTATGGTATAAGACCTTGGATTTGGGTCTAAAAATATTTGTGCACCTACAGGTTTTATGGATATGTATTTCCTTGCCTTCTTAAAAAGCTAAGTGTGTAAAGAAATTGTAGAAGAACTGGCATGGAATACAGAATTTCTAATCTATTATCGTAAATGTTCTAAGACATGCTTGTATAAACAGACAGGTCAGAAACAAAGAGAGCAAAGGAAATATTTACCAGATAAAGTTGATTAGAAAAAGACTGAGGCTACAAGCCAGGATTGGAGTCTTTATTGTGGATTTAATAAAAATGCTTTTTGAAAGTATTGTGAAGTTTCCAGGACAAGGGAATAGTGCTTTATGCTGGATGGGGATAAAAGAAGTAAATATTAAAGAAGGGAATATAAAAAAGCAGTTCTTTTGAATACTCTTTCTTAACTCCTGGAAGCAAGAAACTTTCTAAGGATGAAGAAGATTTAGCTGGCCTGGGATTTTACAGGTAATTGCAAGTGATAAGGCACAGATAGAAAACCTAGTGCAATGACATCTGCCAAGGGGCAAGTACTCAATGGGGACATTACTCTGACCATAGGACCATTTAGTTTGTGCCATCCTACCACTTTCTACCCCCTGACTCACACACTCAGGTTTCAACCTAAATAATGGAAAAGCTATGCTCAGTGAGATTTTCCACTTCTGTGTAAGCACTTTGCTTTCTCTTTCTCTGTCTCCCAAGCACTGTTTCCTTCCTCCACATCCCTCTTCTTCTCCCTCCCTATCTCTCTTTCTTCATTTTCCTCTCCCCCCACTTTTTTTTTATCTCTCTTTTTTCTCCCCTCTGGCTTTCCTGGTGTCCTGCTCTCTTCTCTTGTTCTCCTCACTCCAACCTTGGATCAACCCTGCTGCCTATATTTTATGTCCTATACCCCTGCTGTGATTCTTAATGAAATAAGTTTCAGGAAGCCTACTGATTGGATCCATGACAAGTGTATAATTTGTAGGAGCAGCTGGGCCCTCTTTGGCACAGGCCAATCCTTTCATTCTCTCTCATATGCTACTTTTCCAATTCTGTTCCACCTTAGCCATATTTCTCCTAATTTACTGGGGGACATCAGCTGGAAATTCCCTAGACCCACTTCTTTTTCTATTCCTTACTCCTATTTTCTTCTTGGGGAAGGGAAGGGTCTCCTCATCTTCCTAAGGAACATTTCAGAAGTTATATTTAGAAGGATATCCCAAATGATCTCCTTATCTCCTAAATCAAGTTCTCATTGTCTCCTGTCATAGCAGCTATCCTGCCCACTGGCTCTCCTTTCATTCCTTTTTGCTACCAGAATTAGGTTTAGCATGCGTGGTATGGCATTTATTTAGTCAACTCTCATGTTTCTTGTTCTCCACTTTAAAGTTAGAAGATTTTATGTTTTATATTTACAAGAAGCTTCTTTTTGTTTTTGTTTTTGTTTTCCTTTTCTGCTTGTGGCTCTTGATTAGAATTTTTTCAAAGATCTTCCCAACTCAATGATTTTTGGATTTTCTGTGAGTTAAAGAAGTTAAAAAAAAAAAGAATTTTTTTTTCTGGAGATGGTGATGAGAATTGTTATAAGCAAAGAAAGGCAGCCTTTATATTTATGAGTCAAAGGTCAAACAGACAAACAGATCTGACTTCCCACTAATTATCTTTCTCAGATTGTATATAAATTGTTGACTATTTTTAAAAAGCCTATATAGATAAGTAGAATATTTGGGAAGCTTCTGAAATACTCTTTGACTCTTAATACCTTTAAAATCTGGCTTAGAATTTTCTTTCCTGATAGAAGGCTTCTGGGAGTAACCTTTTCTAAAACTCAATCTGTACTGGCCACTAAAGTTAATGTTCCCATCAGTGCCCTATGCTTGCTTGTTTTCTTCATAGGGTAGTAGTTAAGTGCATGGGCTTTATAGATAGGTGGCCTAAGTTTACATCCCAGCTTGTATTATGTGACTATAGGTGAATTATTTAACCTCTCTGTACCTTAGTTTTGTCACTTATAAAATGGGGATACAACTGCCAACGATCATCATAGCATATTTTTAAGGATTGAGAAAGATAATCCTTTTAAGGTGTGCACCATTCTGAATTCACAGGAAAGGCCTATTATCATTGCTATTGTTCTAAGTTATCATTATACCTAGTGATATATGCTGTTTGCATTTCCAACTAAATTGGAAATCTCTTGAAGTCAGGTGCTTACATCATTACTCAAACACAAAACAAATTCACGCAGAATTTTTGAGGCAAGTCAAAGAGAATATTTTTTCTATCTTTGAGGCATCTATAATAGGTACTAAAACATAATAAATACAGACATTATTTCTGAGTCTTAGATGATATTATATTTTTCCCTTCATTAAATCTAGTTTAATATTTTACAAATAGGAAGTTATCAACAAATGATTACTGAATACATGTAACTTATTTCCACAGGGCAAAATTTTAATTTAAAATATAACTCAAACATATTATAAATATGTAGTTACATATGCTGAATGTAAAAGCAGTGTTTACAAAATTTACTTCATTTAACATCGCTAAAAAAAAAAGTCTGTGGTACACTTAGGACAACTATCTCCTTCAAATTCCTAGGAAAGTGTCAGTTTTCTGCAAGTACTTAATGGTATCTGGACTAAGTGTACATTTCAAAACACTTACATTATGAGTTAATGCATTTGTAACAGACTTCTGAGTGAACTTACATATGGCTTAGGTTGCAAATGAAAAATGCAAAGGAATGAGGAGTTAAGACTTTCTGAGTACCCCTGGAACTCCTAATGGTTTTCTTTGCTTCCTTTTCTGTCTTAATAGACTATCATCCCAGCTAGTATTATCCTAATCAAACAGTATGAAAATGTTTCATGTTAAGGCTCAGGATTATAGAATCATAATGTGGAAACTGGAAGGAAACAAAAAATAATCAAGTCTTTTCAAGGCACCTACCTTCATGCCCTTTACTTGAATTATTTACTCTAGTTTTATCATTTATTTTCATGCTGTTCAATTGACCACAACTCAAAATACCAGTATACTCATACCATGTGCTTGGATACAGCCCCTTCTATATATGTTACTCTAAAAAACCATCTGGGTCTTATGGGGTATTTTCTTTTGTGGTATCACAGCCAGGAGCTCGTGGTTTTCCTTTTAGTATTTTTTTAAGGGAACACTATCATTAACATTTGGGACCAGAAAGAAATCTTGATGCTATATATCTCACAGATATTTTCTTCTTGGATTTTTTTTTCTCTAAAAGTCTTAATATGTCACATAAAAACATACTATTAATTAATAACTTGTCAAGAAGTGCTAGATTCCAGGCCTCTGTGGGACAATTTAAATATGTCCCTAAACAGCTAATAATTCATTTAGTTTTCAGTTAAACTTACTCAAATACATTATTGGGTTAAATTTTTGACATTCAATCGAAGAAAACTAGTTTTTCAATAAATGTAGTAATTAGGGAAGTCCCCAGTTAATATTTTTAAGATACTAAAAGTAGTTGTAACTAATCATTTTAACTAAAAAAAAGAAAAAATAGGATTGGTAATACCCCCCCCCCAAAAAAAACATATCTTAATCACTTTGGAGTTACAGTTGTCTTTTATGTCTATCAATATAAATCTGTAACATTGACATTATTTCCAAAAGGATTGATTTTAATTTTTTTTTCCATTTTGGTCTCTGATCTTTAATTAAATGTACTAGACAGGATGATTTGGGGAGTTTGCTTTGCCAGGTAGGTGTTAGGTATCTGTTGAGACAAATTGTGCTGATGCAACATGCAGTATCAACTAATACAAAACGCTTTTGGAAATTCTCATATTGATGTTACTAGTGATATCGGTTTTTAGCATTTGGTTAATTTAATACACAGTACTGGAATAAAAAGGAAAAAAAAAAAAGATAAGAAGGGCAGGAGGAGAAGACTCCACGCCCCTCTCCCAACCCTCACTCCTTTGGAGGCTCGCGCCCTCTTGGAGTAGCAGGTTCCTGCATGTGCCAGGAATCTGGTCCCAGCGAAGAGAGGCGTTCTGCAACGCCAGGGCGTTCCCAGCTGGTGACTGCTGGCTGCTTGGAGCCTGCAAACACCTGGCGTGGTTCTCGGAGGCCCTAGACTTCTGCCACCGACTGGTCGGCTCTGGGGCTGTAGGCAGAGAAGGCTCTGAGCGGTCAGAAGGGTTTCCTGTGTGTCAGCAACTTCACTTAGTCGAGATAGCTGGCGGAAGAGCGAAGGAGCGCTCGCGGGCCAATCGCTCGCCAGCAGCGACCTCGGACTGAGTGCGCCCCTCGCCCTCGCCGCCGATCCCGGTAGCCGCGTCGTGGCAGAGGCTGAGCGCACCCGGCCACTGCAGGGACCTACACTCCAGAAGACGCCTCTGCTTCCCCCCTGCGCCCTGGAGGGTGCGGGCTGGCTGCCGGGCGGGCTTGGCTGAGGCACGCCTCTCGCTTCCCCGCGGAGCGCGGACTTGCTCTGGTGCCCAAACTCCGCCCACCCTCGCGGGGAGCCGAGCTCTGCCGCCTGCCCCCTGCACTCAGGACCGGGCAGGGCCTTGGGAAGAGTCCCTGAGCTGAGCGGACCGCGAAGAGTACGCGATTCCGAGGCGCACGGGTCTGTCTGTCGCCACGCGCGCTTTTGATGTTCCCCGCACGCTGAGCGCAGGGTGGGCGCAGGAAGAGCCGAGGAGCCCCGAAGCCGAGCTGTTTGTTTCCAAGGTACGGAGGAGGAAGATGTCCACATGAAGTTGCTCTTTCGGGGAAGGAGGCTGGGGAGCGCCTTCCCCATGCTGGGCGCAGCGGAGCGAGTTTAGCTTGACCTCGCTGCGCCTCCGGCGCGCTCTGCAGCGCGGACCCGCGGCCCTTAGCAAAAGCGCACTCGGAAAGTTATCGGTGGTGGTGCTCTGCGCGCCCTGTTGTGTAACCGCGCCGCTGCCAGCCGGACGGGGAAGTTGCCGGCCTGCCCAGTTAGGTCGTAGCCCCAGGCGGATTTCATGGCCCGCGGCGAACGCGGGGCTGGAGCCGGCGTGGGCGAGTCCCCGCGCGCCCCCTCCCGCGGGGATCCCCCGCGCCCACTCCCTTCCGCTCGCCGGGTTTTCCGATGTTCGCTGAGCCCCTTGCCGCCGTCGCCTTCTCGCCGCAGCTTGCCCCTCGGAGCCGCCGCCTAAGTCCGGGAGGAGAGAATGACCGAGGTGCTGTGGCCGGCTGTCCCCAACGGGACGGACGCTGCCTTCCTGGCTGGCCCGGGCTCGTCCTGGGGCAACAGTACTGTCGCCTCCACTGCCGCGGTCGCTGGCTCCTTCAAATGCGCCCTGACCAAGACGGGCTTCCAGTTCTACTACCTGCCGGCTGTCTACATCTTGGTGTTTATCATCGGCTTCCTGGGCAACAGCGTGGCCATCTGGATGTTCGTCTTCCATATGAAGCCCTGGAGCGGCATCTCGGTGTACATGTTCAACTTGGCTCTGGCCGACTTCTTGTACGTGCTGACTCTGCCAGCCCTCATCTTCTACTACTTCAATAAGACGGACTGGATCTTCGGGGACGCCATGTGCAAACTGCAGAGGTTCATCTTCCATGTGAACCTCTATGGCAGCATCTTGTTCCTGACATGCATCAGTGCGCACCGGTACAGCGGCGTGGTGTACCCACTCAAGTCCCTGGGCAGGCTCAAGAAGAAGAACGCGGTCTATATCAGCGTGCTGGTGTGGCTCATTGTGGTGGCTGCGATCTCTCCTATCCTCTTCTACTCGGGCACCGGGGTCCGGAAAAATAAAACCATCACCTGCTATGACACCACCTCAGATGAGTACCTGCGAAGTTATTTCATCTACAGCATGTGCACCACCGTGGCCATGTTCTGTGTCCCCTTGGTGCTGATTCTGGGCTGTTATGGATTAATTGTGAGAGCTTTGATTTACAAAGACCTGGACAACTCTCCTCTGAGGAGAAAATCAATTTACCTGGTTATTATTGTATTGACTGTTTTCGGTGTGTCTTACATCCCTTTCCATGTGATGAAAACGATGAACTTGAGGGCCCGGCTGGATTTTCAGACCCCAGCAATGTGTGCTTTCAATGACAGGGTTTATGCCACTTATCAGGTGACAAGAGGTCTAGCAAGTCTCAACAGTTGTGTGGACCCCATTCTCTATTTCTTGGCAGGAGATACTTTCAGAAGGAGACTATCACGGGCGACCAGGAAAGCTTCCAGAAGAAGTGAGGCAAATTTGCAATCCAAGAGTGAAGACATGACCCTAAATATTTTATCAGAGTTCAAGCAGAATGGAGATACAAGCTTGTGAAGGCACAGGAATCCCCAAACCTCACTTTTGTAACATGGTAGGATACTTAACAGAGCCAAGTGCTTTTTTTCCCCCCCTTTTAAGTTTCTAGTAAGTTTAGAGAAAATTCAAACTAAGAGAGTAGTGAGTTGGAAAAAAAAAATAGAAGTAGAAATGCTCACATCCACACTTGTTGGAGTTTGCTTTCAAAATCTCCTTTCTTTCTAACTAGAAGTATGTATAATAAAACAATACTTCTTAGTTAAACATTTACTTTCTCTTCTGTCTTTAAAATTTACAAACTTTTCTGTTTAAAAGGTGTGTGTGCATATAAGTACTGGGGCTATTTTGATATTAGTAATTTCTCCAAGAAAACTAGCCACCTGAATTACAGTTTGTGATTTCTTTAGCCTTTCTTGTTTTTAATAATCCATGGTAGGAACAAATTGAAAATCCACATTCTCAAAAATATTTAGCACAAAATAGCAAAATACTAAACTCAGTTCATTCAGTATCAGATGAGTAGATCTCTGAGCTGAATGTCTTTCAGTATCTTACAACTATAGATGTTAGCTGACTGAGTTTCTTCAGGAAATTTGATAGAAAAGTAAAGTCAGTGGATTTAAAAGCCTGAAAAATGATTGTTTTCCAGTCATTTCTGACAAACTACTCAGTATATATTGGTTGCTAAATGTTTGATGGTGGAAGCCTGCATATACTATCTTACTGGTAAAATGCATTCAAAATCATTAAAGTGCATGGATTTTCCTTGTAAACACCATGAACTCTCTTAGACTTCTGTGATAAAGAGCATTTATTTGCACTACTGCTGTGCAATGCCTTTAGGACTTTGTTTGTGTTCCAGGACAAGTGCTCATTCACATCTGTAAAAACAATTTAAAAAGCACAGATAAATTATAGACCAAAGCTTGAGTAAAATTGAATAATTGTTAGCAAGTTGAGGGATGTTGAGCAGGAGGATAGTATTTCAGAAAAGGAGTGGTCGACAGTCATCCACAACACTGAGCCTACAAGTATACTCTCAAATGTATGTGACAGCTTAGTATGGAAAGAGACATTTTAGAATAATGACTTTAGTTTAAATTAAAATCCTGGTGGAAAAGGCTTTTGATGCTTCTTCAAAGTGTTTATAGATATTAAAGGCAATATGAAAAGAAGTAGGCAGAATTTGTATATGTTGCATTGATAGAATGGGAAGTTATAATTTTTTAATGAATCTTACATCATAATATTTAAAGAAAAAAACATAAATATGGAAAGAAAAATAAGGAGAATTTAATTTAAGTACCTAAGGTACTACAACACTGAAAAGTAAGCTGTAGAAGAGAAGACTACTAGTCAGTGTGTTCTTTCCTATTTGTTCTCTGTTAGGTGTTAGTGAAAAACTTGTAAGATACTTCAACAACTTTAATAACTTTCAGTGAATATTGAATTGCTGCCTTTCTAGTCCTTCATATAGGCATATTCTATATAATGAGAAAAGTGAGGTTAGGTAATGCAGTCAATAACCCCAAGCAAATCAAGTGTCAAAGGCTTTTTAATTTTGAAAGCAAGACCCTGTAAAGCCATCATCAGAGTTTGCAGCTGATGGTAGAGTAACTTGCTTGAAAGAACTTTATAAGTAAAGTAATATGGAGCTTTATGTTAATGCAAGAAAGAACCCTAGTGCCTTGTGGTACAAAATGATAGGAAATTCAGGGCTTGATTTCAGTTCTTGTAATGCCTGTGTAGATTGAAGATTTGTGAGAACTTCAGAGTTGCTTCAGTTTTCCCAATCTCTGGCCACTAAGATCAATGAAGAAAAGCTGTGTTTAGCCTTCCTTAACAGTTCTTCAGTCTTAATGAATAGGCTTACAGAAACCAAATCAAGAATAAACCTACCATACCTCTTCATTTTGAAGAGAGGGTTAGCAAAGTTCTCATTTGGTCAGACTTATACAATATTGTCTGTTTTAAAATCCTAAAAGAGAAAATCTGAAATATGTCATTACTGTATCGACCCTGTCAAACATGTTCATTGTGGCAAGATCAATATCATTAAACTGACCAAGATGGAAATTATAGAGCCTGTACCATACTTGAATTAACAGCCTAAAGATACACATTTCTATAAGATTTCCTCACAATTTACTTTAGTTTTCTTTCTTTTAGGTCTCAGGATGCTCTGCCTGGTTTAGGATATGTGTTAAGTACATTGTTTCAGCTTCTAGAGAGCTTTCTTTGGGAGTATGGATCCAGTGAGGAGGTACGCAGTTACTAGAAATGTCCTTTTACTACTTGGTGTGTTTTTTTCAAAGTATTTCTTCTTTGGCTTCATACATGATGTTGTTGACATTGATGACCTGTGAATGCATACCAAATAGTAACAAGAATGATCTTGCCAACTCCTTCCAGGCCAAAAGAAGTCTCTGGGAAGATCTATGCTAATGGTGAAAACATACAGAGGGGCAGGGTGAAGCAATGATCTATGTAGGCTGAAAAGCTAATTCATGCCATATGATAATACCATATGATAATAATAAAGGCAGAAATCTGCTGGCATTTGGATAAAAGAATAGCTAAAATTATAGAACTTATCAATTAACTTAATTGCACACAACAAAAAATATTTTAATGCCGAGTTCAAAGTGTTGTATTGCTTACAAATTGCCATCTTTAACTCTTTGAACACCAATTTGTGTGTACACTAAAATGATAAAAAGACAAACTAAGAAGAAATATAGCATGCAAGTCAAGATTCAGAGTTAAAAACATGACGTTGCCACTCAGCCAGCTGTGGGACTCTTGACCCTTTCAAGACCGTCACTCATCATGGATTAAAAATGTTGGATGACATCCATTTGTTGCAGCCTAGGGGATGCGGGAAAGCATGAAAAATAGACAGCAAAGAGTGCGTGAAATCTGCTACCGTATTTTCAGGACTCTTTAATCCAATCCTTGGCTAAAAATTCCTACCAGGTTCACTAATTGTGATGTCGACCTATGACCTATAAATTGTCTTAATTTACCGGACAGGACACTAAACTGTCTTTGGATACTATAGATGTCAATGCTTATTACAGCTGGAATTCCACTAGTGACAGTACTTAAAGATGTGATACTAGTTAGGATCTATTGAAGCTTTAACTTTGCTGGTCAATTGTAACTATCATAACTGTATTTATTGAGGGGGCTCACAGTCCTTCAGTTGTACAGATTGAAAAACTTTCTTGAAAGATCCAACAAACTGATGTAAATTCTATTTATTACAATGTATAATATTAATATGTTAAACTGATGTATTTTACATAATATATGAATGCATAGATAAAATGAGAGTTGTATATAACGATGCTTTTCAAATATTAATATCTTGAAATATTTGTCTTCGAATGTGTTTTGCCTAAAATATGAAAATGTTTTGTGATATGAGTGATTAGTTTTCCCTAGAAATACTTTTGCATGTTTACCTTTTTATTTTGGGTTCTTTCTTGCAGACACAATTTCGTGTCAGAATATATTAATCAATAGTAAATAGAAAATAACTTAGTGAGATGGGGTCTTTATTGTCTACATTTTATATATATTATAGAAAGGTTTATATTGTCTTTCCAGGAGGTTTAGAATTTTTCCCCAAATGCAAAGCTTCTCTTTTCAAATGCAAAAGCCTTGTCTTAAATTCAGAGTTGATCTCTGATGTTTTAGAAGTCTAGTAGGATGTGCATTATAGATATAGCATTATAATTTAAGGAAAAACTTTAGGGATATGGGGAGAGGAAAAGGCAGCTGGTACAATCAGTTACTGCTACTCAGTTTTCCTTAAATTTTTGCATTGTGTTTCTTATTAAGGTCAAATAGTATAATCTTAATTTTTTTGAGATGGGGTTTTTAAGTAACACACTACCAGCAAGTTCAACATTGCTATTGATTTCAATCTGTTTTCTTTGTTCAATTGATATCTTTAATTATAATTTTTTATAGTGATAACTATTTTATTTGGCTGCTTAATTCTGTTACAGTTTTTTATTCTGTTGTATACTGTATTATAGACATCATCACAAATTAATATGAAGGTCAATATATGTTACATATCAAAATTTGTGAATTTGAATTGTAGTATGTTTTAGTGCTTTTGCAAAAAAAATGTTTATTTTTATATTATCTGTGATCTTAATATAGATAATTGAACTAGATTTTTTTTTTTTTTGAGTAATAGTGCCATTGAATGAGTGGTATGGAAACAGTGTTACTTGACATTTTGAGTTTTCTCAGGTTTATCTAAATCAGTGGTACCTTAACTAATCCAGACTAATTGTGCACAATTGTGTTTTTAATAAAAGGAAAGTACATTTCCTATAATAGCAAAGTATTGTTTGCATGCTGAGTATGCAAAATCTTGTATGTTTGTGTGTTTGTGTGTGTGTGTCTGTGTCTAAGGCATGGCAGCCAACTTTGTATCTGCTATTTATAGTACCAGCAGAGCTTCATAATTGTGGTCACTAAAATTGTACTTACCATTGACAGTTAAAACTGAAAACGACTCAATAAAACTATGAAACATGGTTTGATGGCTTCCGTGTTATTACAGTGTTAATACAAGTTTCCCTAAATTTTAACATATAGTATTATACAGACTGACAAGTACGGTAGAACACATTGAACTAACCCAGGTGTTTTTTTAGGTACAGACTGAGCTATAAAACTATAGCGTTCAAGGAAAAATCCTGGTGCAAGATAATTAATAAGATTATCATCATTTGATATTTAATTATCAATAGAAATGTGATCAAATTATTTAAAACAAAATACTGAATGTTCCCTTAATGTGTGCTTCTCATACTAGTGTTATGTGTTTAAAATGTTGGCTGTAATCTTTTTTTCATCTAATTTTTAATTCATGGAGGTAATCATACTAATAATTATTTGTGGTTTCTGTTTATTAGCCTACATTGCCTGCTTCTCCAGGGTTTAACTCCTTAATTAGCTTTACTATCCAGACTTCACCATTTCAGAAATCTCACTTATTAACATCAGCTTTGGTAGAGGTTTTTGTGTGTGTATATGGGTATATGTATGTGTGTGTGTCGGGGGGGGGTGTGTTTATTTAGTGCATACACGGAGATCATACAGATAATTTTCTTTCTGATTTAAGAACAATTTACCCTAAAGCTTTCAGCACCTTTTGATTTTCTAGATCACTTAAGGATTAGAATCAAAGACCCTTTTCTCTCCACAAGTTAATACATATTTTAATTACCTCTCTTACTTTAATGAACTAGAAAATTTACTTTCTCTTTTTGTGAAGTTTAGGATTTTCCCCAAAATATTGTCAGAGCTTCCATTTCCAAATAGATAAAGCTAGTCTAAATTCAAAGTAGATCTATTATGGTTTAGAAGTCTGATGGGATGGGGCATTATAGACACAACAGATGCCACTAGAAATCCATGTTAATGTTAACACTGTGCTTATTTGCTTAACCCTGCAAGGTTATATTACTTAGGGCTGGACCTGGGGACTCACATCCCCAGCCAGGATGGCTGCTGGGACCAACAGCCCAAACAGCAGCTGTGGATAGAGTCAGGCCCTGAGGTAGCATCTGACAGCACTGCAGCCCCTCCAGGAATGGAAGTGAATATAGGAGGCACGTGGAGGCTTTTGGTACTTCAAAAAGGGAAAAAATACGCTGCTTGTCCTGATTACCTGATGGGGAGAAATAGCCTGTGTGAAGGTAGTAAATTCTTGATGCTAGACTAAAACAGATAGAGACCTCGGAAATGATCCATTGCCATCACCTTGGTTTGCAGGTGAGAACAAAGTTTTCACATTCAAGAGTGGAGCTAGCAAACAACATGGTGTTCTCACGTCTACTAAAACATTCCTCCCACATCCCAAGGTTCTTCAAACTATGAATCTTGACCCATTAATGGGTCATGAAATCAGGATGGTGAATTATGATCTAACAAAATGAAATACAATAAAATAGAGTCCATAACTCAGTGAGTAAAGCTTTGTGGCTTTAATTTCAGACACAGATACACAACACAATGCATGTATGTATATTTACATATACTTGTGCCCTGTGTCACAGTGGACATTTTATTTCCTATCGTGGACATGGTCAAAAAAGTTTGAAAATTCTCCACTACTCAGAAAAAGAAGGCAAGGAGTTAAAGGAATGGAGGATTTTAAGAGATTGTTTTTCAAAACTTTTAAAAATAAATGCAAAGGTACTTGGTTGTTAATTTTGTTACATATACTCATTCTTTTTTCTTTTAATGTTATTCTATTTTGAAGATTCTATTCAGAATTTCCAAAGAAATTATTAAAGCTGCACTTAGCATACATCTAAGGATGGCTTTTTGCAGGCAAAGATAGTATAATTGAAATCCATATTTATGTAAACTTTGATAGCTTAATTCAACAGTATTTCCTCTGGTTTGAATAGTTCCCAGCAAAATCGCAAACTGCCATGTTTAAGAGCATCAACTTTGCAGTCAAAAAGCCTTAAGTTTGAGCCCACCCATACCAGTTACTATTTGTGAATCCTTGGCGAGTGATTTAAACCCTGTTTAAATCTGTTTAAACCCTGTTTAAAACAGAGGACCTCTGTTGTGTGTCCTCAACTATAAAATGAGTTTAATAATATGCAGCTCATAGGATGTTGGAAGAATTAAATAAAATATGCAAAGCATACCACACAATACATATCAATAATGGTAGATATGCCATTCTTGAAACTACTAAGGGCTTTGCCACTCTATTTGCTATTTTGTTATTGCTATTATTGTTCTTTCTATTGTCTTCTTTCATTCCATGGAGGCTTTGTGAATCTCCTAGAAATTCATGTTGTTGGATCAAGAGATTGTTTGGGTGCATTTAATATCATTCTTTTGGACACTCCATTGAATGTCTGAGGTCACAAAATGAGCAATTATTCAACTTTTTGATGCTTTGCACTGTGACATGTACTGTGTGGTGCAAAGATGCATATGACATAGTGTGTATAGCTAAAAATATATTACAAGAAGTGTCTGCTCTCTGATCTCTTTACCTGGGCTTACCTCTCAGGTTCATAGTTTATTTTCAGTCACCACAGTCCAAAATCTGGTTTTCTGATTTGCAGATCCAGAAACTTGATTCTAATAGTTCATCTAGAGTTCACCAACTCTGGACTGACTCACACCAAGCAAACTGACAAAAGCATCATTTACCAACTAGGTTGCCAGCTTATAAGTATACAATAGCTATGTCCCAGTCACAATAACAGACATCTGCCTTTTTGTTCACAGGGGATCTAATTATGGATCACAAAGTTGCCTGCAGAGCTTAAAATAAAAACAAAGAGAGGTGATATTCTTGAAGAGCATTTCCAGTAAGATAGAGGAACTGAAAGAATTGCCTATCCCTGGAGATACTGTCCTTGATAATTAGCACCTATCCTATACTCTGATATATCAGCATCTATAAGATAGATGTTAATCAGCATCTATCCTATACTCTGCTTTCCTGGGACTGCTTAGCAGCACATAAATTGGAAATTTCACATTTATTTTATGTTAAAATTAATCACCACCATTATTACTTCTTTGTATGCAAAGTATGTTTTGGTAATGTCTCTTACCTGGTGAGGGTAGGAGGAGGGTGGTAGCAGAGAGGGCTGCAATGATTGCTAGGTTGGAGATACTTAGAAGACATCTAGTTGGAAAGGTGCAGTATGTCATTGCAAATGCCATTCCTGAGTTCAGGGCAGAGTTGTAGCAAGAGATAGAGCTTTGAGAATTGTTCATGTACAAATGGTAGCTGTAACCAGAGAAGTAAATGCAGTCACCCACAGAGTACATGTAGACAGAGAAGAAAAAAGGGACAGCAGTAGGGAGGTAGCAGTGAACCATTAGCAACACCACCACCAAGGATGGGCTGGGCAGAGAAGAATGAGAAGGAAGAATTGGGGTCTTAGAAGACCTATGACAGCCCCTGAAAAGATAAGTTTCAGAAAAGAATTATATGAAAAAGGTAACTCTGTGTCACTTGTTATAAAAAGAGCCATAAAGAGTCTGTTGGATGTATAGACTAGAAAGCATTGGTGTTATTGAGGGCACATTTAAACCATAACAATAGTAAATATTACTAATCACTGAAGAAGTGTTTTGGTAGATAGGAGGATTATAGGCTCTTAGCTTGAGACAAGGAAACAAAGAATAGAAATAGAAAAAGAGAGGAATTGCTTAAACATGCTGTAAGGAAACAAACTCCATGTGGTAATTGGAGTAGGTGGATGATGTCAACAGGACAAAGGAGAAAGGTTAGTCTAGTAAAAAGGTGGTTATTGAAGTCAAATGGTGGTAAAGTCCACTGGAGTAGTGGAGAGCTGAACTGTGGCCAGTACTTTGGATGGATCACTGAGCGGCAGGAAGTCTGTAGGAGTTGTGTAGCAGAAGCTAATTTGAAGTTTGGTGGGTGAGAGAACCAAGTAAGGGGATGGCTAGAAGGAACTAGTTGACAACATTCTCAAAAAAGAGAGTTACATGGCGGTAGAAGAGTAATCTCAAGAAGCAGTGGGGAGCTGGAAGAATGCCTGTCCCTTTTCTGGTGTGGAAGAGTAGCAAGATAGCAGCGATGGTGTCTACTGGGAAAAGGAATGAGAGAAATATTTTACTGGAGAGTTGACAGCAGGCTTTGGTAAGAGAAAGTTTAGGAAGAATTAAATGAAGAAGGCAAGTTTTAAAAAGATCCCAGGGTGGAAAGAACTAACATTTTAACAGAAACTTGGGAAGTAAGTTTTTTATAGTCTAGGCAGGTTGTCTGTCCTGGGATGAAGTCAGGGAGAGGGACATAGATTGGCCTCAGGCAGTGACTGAGAGCTTCTGCAATAGTTCTAAAACATGGCTGTAAATTCACTGGCATTCTCCATGTCAAGAACTGGGGTCTACTGTCCCTCCTATTGAATCTGAGAGGGTTTGTGACTGTTTTGCCCAACAGAATATGGCAGAAGTCATGTGTTCTGAGTTCTGAGATAAGGTCGTAAAGGGCCACATAGCCTTGTTGGTTGGAACATTATCTCTTGGACTCTGAGCTATCAGAGTAAGAAGCTGATTATCCTGAGACCACATGCTGGACAAGCCACATAGAGAGATGAATTATTTGGTAAGTTCCTGAAAAGTAAGTGTGTGTGTGTGTGTGTGTGTGTGTGTGTGTGTGTGTGTGTGTGACAGAGAGTGAGAGAAAGACAGAGAGACAGAGAGCCAAAGACCCTCTACTCTTCAAGTCATACTAGCACAGGCCCCAGACATGTGCATGAAGAAGACTGACCCAAATACCCAGCCATTCTAGTTATTCCCAACTGCATGAGTCTTCTCAGCTGAGGCCTTAGAACTCACATAACAAAGATAAATTATCTTTTCTGGAATTTGTGTAAATTTCTGACCCACAAAATCTATGAGGAAAATAAGAGCTCTCCAGAATATCTCCTTAGATGCCATATGGCCATTTTTACTCAGGGTTTTTTTTTTTTTCTCTCCCTAGGTTACTCCCAGGAGAAAAGACTCAAGTCTCTTCTGCTTT